GGGTTGCTCTGCTTGCGGGGCGGTTTAGCAACCTGCTGGAGGTGACAAGGCAAAGGGGACACGGCCCCACCGGCACACCGGTCCTCAGCCGCGAGACAACGGTGCAAGCTCGACGTCCAGACTGTGGCAGAGGACTCGCCCCCATTTCTGCTGTTTCTTCCCCCAAAGCTGGGTGGAGGCAGCGCGTGGGCAGGGTCCACGGTCCCTCCTAGTGCAAAACCCACCGGGGGACGGAGAGACGACAGCGGGTTCCTGCCATCGCCTTCCATCCCTGGGGCAGTCACTGGCGAAGGCTTGAGCATCGCCGGGTGGCAGAGCACTGCAGGGGAAGAGGGGACGGAGGTGCCTTCCCCATGCCCACCATGCACAGGGAAGGAAGGAGGGACCATTTCGGACAGAAACAACCTACCATCCTCGTTCACCAGTCACTAACCAAGGAAAGAGGGGAGAAAAAGTCCAGCTCTTGGGTTTTTGCTTCTCGTGTCGTGGGACGTCCCCCAGGGCAGGGGTCGGTCAGTCACCAGGGCCGCGGCGCGGGGCAGTGGGGAGCGGGAGGAACGCGCCGTCAGCAACAGGTCGTTGCACCAAGGAAACCCTTTTGCTCTGTGGAAGTGCCTTTAAAAAACAGGTTAACGCCGAAGGTCACCTTGGGGAGGTGGGAGCTGTCGCTTGGTCTCTGGCCAGGAGGGTGGGAAGGGTTTGCCCCTCAGTGGGGAGGAGGAAGGGGTCCTTAGGACAAGTCTTCCACCGGCAGCTCCTCCTCCAGGTCCCTGTCGTCGGGAATTGTCACATTCTGGTTGGTGGTGGCCATCAGCGAGACGGGTCTGCTGTCGTCCTCTGCCTCCGCAGGCTCCTCCTTCACGTGCACTGGATGGCTGCGGGGATGGAAGCCTTCAGCCTCAGGGGAGCCGCTGGACACAACCCCGTGAAGCTCTTGGTCCCGTGGGGCAGCCCAAACCCCCTCCATCCCTGCGCTGCCCCTCGCCCAGGGGGTGGGAGCCCCAGGAGGCAACGAGCAGCACCCGGTGCCCAATCTGCCACCATCCCTTAGCTCCAAAGCCTCCAGCAGCCCTGTAACACCCACCGGCACCCTCCCTCGTCCCCAGGCTGACCTGTACTGCTGCGGGGACAGGCGCGGGCTGTTGCTGCCGTTGCTGTTGACCTGCTCCACGGTGCTGCTCACGTCGTCGTGGCCCACGTGCAGCATGCCGCTGGCGGAGCTGGTGTTAATCATGGTGGGGCTGTTCAGCAGCGGGAAGCTGCTCTCCGCCAGCGCAGCCTGCAGCAGAAAGCAGCAGCGGCTCAAGGCATGGAGGATGCGAGACCGCGATAGAAAACAGGACTGCGGAGCGGCGAAGGTTTAGTGCCCCTGCGTCCCTGCCAGGGACGGGACTGGGTCCTTACCTGGTAACTTGCATTAAGTGCTCCGTAACCGAGTCCTGAAATCATGTTTTTGACTAAAGTTGGACTCCTGCAGAAAGAGAGAAAGCAGAACGATGCACGGCTGAGCGCTCCCGGCCCGGGGGGTTTGGCAGCGGAGGTGGGCACGAGCACAGCTTCCGGGCTGTGTCCCACGGGAGAGGAGGACCCACCCTGTCATCTTTGGTGGCCTTCGCTTTTGGTACTCGTGCTCGTCGACAGTCCAGACGGCTCCCTTGACGTTCTCCACGCGCACGAAGCACTTGTGCAGGCTCAGGTTGTGGCGGACGGCGTTCTGCGGGCAGAGCGGGCAGGAGAGCTCAGCAGCGTGGCCCTCGCCCCGCTGCCCGGACCCCTCCTCTTCCTCCCCATCCTCCTCCTCGCCCACTCCCCCCCCACCCCCCTCCTCGCCCAGCCCCTGTGGGTCCCCATGGCTGCCCCAGCCACGCTTGGCTTGGCTACAGCCAAACGCTCTGCAAACCACCCAGGGACGCCGCAAACGCTCGCTCACCCCATCGGCACCGAGAGGGCGTAGGCGTTGAGCCCCCAAACTGCACGTGGGACGCGACCCCGTTTCACGGGCCTCGGCCAGACGCCGACGAAGATGGGGACAGCGTGGGACAAGGGACAAGTCGCACCAGCGAGGACCCGGGCGCAGAGCCACCCTCTCCGCTGCAGCTCGCTCGGTGATGCTCGGCAAAGCCGGCTAATCTTTTTCTTTCTTTTTCTTTCCCCCCACCCTCCCTTTTTGGTCCTTTCCCTCCCTTTCTTCTTCTAAATGTAAAATAAAGAGACACACACGTAGGCAGACAGCGCAGCCCCGAGAGATACCGGCTCCCTTTTCCCCTTCCAACTCCCTGCCATTTGCTACTGCCCCTATTTCATTACCAATTTTAATTTGCCTCTAATTAAATCCTGTGTATTTTTCCGACTCACTTGCTAATCCATGAGGGAGGCAGGAGGCTGGAGTGGAATCTCTCCGAGCTATAATTACAAAGGGCCTAATCACGCCGGGGCTCTGCCTTTGAATAAATTTCCTTGCATTAAGGTTCTCAGATTCTCTGCCTTGCAAATGAGAATGACCCCAATTTCAGGAAGTTGGCCTCGGAGGGTTTTTTTTATATTTTTTTTTTTTTTATTTCGAGTCCTGATTCGTGATGAGAGACTAATTCGTTACGCTAAAACATTAACAGCAATTTAAAAGGTCGAACGGGGGCTGTATAAACAAAGGAGCTGGCCAACACAACAAGGCAAAAGGAGACACAAGGACTGAACCCCCCTGCACTGGAAAGTGTTAAAGAGTTCCCGGAAACTCATCAAATCGCACTGTCCCCCCCTTTTTCTTTTTAATTTAAGGACAAAACCAAACAAAGCTGGGCTC